AAAATTGAATAGGCTAATAATTGTATAATTTTTTTCTACAATTAAGTGATTAATCTGGTTGCAATATTTGTTTTTATCATTTAATTGTTTTATTTAAATTTGATAGAAAATTGAATATTTAAAGATGTACATTATACTGTACAAAAGTAATACAAGAGTAATATATTTCCTTTATCGTATCATATCATATCGCGATTCGAATTAAGTGGCAGACCTACTTTTGATTTATTCGTCCAAAATTTACGAATTCCGTGGCATTCCGCGCTATAGAATAAATTACGTTTTTATGAATGGACGTTTTTTAACAGGCTAATAATTGTATTATTTTTTTCTACAATTAAGTGATTAATCTGGTTGCAATATTTGTTTTTATCATTTAATTGTTTTATTTAAATTTGATAGAAAATTGAATATTTAAAGATGTACATTATACTGTACAAAAGTAATACAAGAGTAATATATTTCCTTTATCGTATCGTATCATATCGAGATTCGAATTAAGTGGCAGACCTACTTTTGATTTATTCGTCCAAAATTTACGAATTCCGTGGCATTCCGCGCTATAGAATAAATTACGTTTTTATGAATGGACTCCGCGATCCCGTCCGCGTTTTCGCAAAAACCATACGGCCCTAGAAATGTAACCACTATTACACGAGTCTCTCTTTCTCTCTCTGTAGCGTATGCGCCCAGATGCGTTCTCGGGTACCGAAATTTGGCACTGATTGTTTTAACGTGAATCAGTACTCGGTAGTACCGACGCAATTCGGTCGGTACCCTTAAAGTACCGAGTTCGGTACCCAACCCTATGTACATATTTTATTTTTATTCACCTTTATTTAACCAGGAAATTAAAAACTCTTGAGATTTAAAATCTCATTTACAAGAGGGTCCTGGCCAAGATAGGCAGCACATTTAGTTACACATAAAACAAAATACATTCGTTTACATACACAGAAACATACACAAATCACTCAAAACATTTACAATCAGGTGACTCTACAATTAGATCCTTTAAAATACATTTAAAATCATTTAGTGATACCAACTCTTTTAAGCATAACTTATCTTGTAGTTGATTCCAATCAAATGCAGCAGCATGACTAAATGCCCGTTTGCTCATATTAGTACGAACTTTAGGGATGCTTAAAAGATAATAGTCTTGTGAGCGAAGACCATAATTCTTTACACCTTTTTGTAAGATATTCTGCTGTAAATATGAAGGAAGTAAACCTAAACGCCTGTAAACAATGCTTGGGTGCCTGCATGTATATGATATCACAATAAGCCAACACTGACAAAAATGTAGCTGCTACCAATCTCTTCTTTGCTGCAAAAGAAAGACAATACTTGACTCTAACAAAAAAAACAAAAGGCCCAGTTTCGACTTAAATTTTCTCACAAGGTACTGAATATGAGGCCCAAAAGAAAGCGAATCATCAATTAAAAATCCCAAGTATTTATACTTGGATACTACTTCAATCTCCAAACCTTGAAGAGTAGTGATTGAGCATGAGTTTGAAAGTGCAGACTTTCTTTTTGTAAACATCATAAGTTTAGATTTCTCCGCATTTAAAACAAGTTTTAAATCACTCCGTGTATGCTGAAATGCATCAAAATCAGATCGAAGATGACTAAATATATTGTAGCCTGATCCAATGTTGATGCAGAGGAGTAAATCACCATATCATCAGCGTATACATTAAAACTTGAATGTGCGAGAATATTCCCAATATTATTAATATATAAAATAAATAATAATGGCCCAAGGACTGATCCCTGTGGTACGCCGATATTTACAGAGTACAAGAAATGAGTCCCTCTATTAACAAACAAATTAACAAAAAATATGGCAGAAATGTACAGTAAAATCCAGTTAATATGGGCTATAATGGGCTGTTAACTATGGGCTTCCATAGTTTACTGTCCTAAATGAAAAACATAATAACCTTTATGAAGTAACCACACTTAAGCATCAGCTGATGTGTTTCAGGAGGCCGTGTCAGTTGCAGATGTCATCCTGTGGGCGGCGCTGTATCCTCTCCTGTCTGACTCCAGTTTTGACGTCGGTAAGAGCTCAATCTCAGTCTGTTTGTCTGCTCAGACGGCTGGACTCGTATCTGACGCGCTTTCCCTCTGCAGGTGAGCTGCGGTCGGTGCGTGGCTGGTTCGAGCGTGTCGGCGATCTGGCCGCATGTCAGGCGGCCGCTAACAGAGTCCTGCAGGGAAAAGGTGTTGAAGCCCTGAAGACTTTCCTCCAGAAACACCCGGCCACACAAACACAGCGCCGGGACAGTCCCACTAATGCCACTGAGGTGCACAGCAATCCCACCAGTGTTATTCTAGTATTTATTCTTCATTTTTTTTAATTAGCTTTTATTTTTATATTTTCGGTTTTTATTTAAATTTTTGTTATTTTTGTCATTATTATTCATATTATTTGTGACCCTGGACCACAAAAGCCAGTCATAAGGGTCAATTTTTTAAATAAATAAATAAGCTTTTTGAAAACTATTTGAAAATCTGGAATCTTGAGGGTGCAAAAAAATCTAAATCACCTTTAAAGTTGTCCAAATGAAGTTCTTAGCAATGCATATTATTAATCAAAATTAAATTTTGATATATTTACGGTAGGAAATGTACAAAATATCTTCATGGAACATGATCTTTACTTAATATCCTAATGATTTTTGGCTTAAAAGAAAAATCGATAATTTTGACCCATACAATGTATTGTTGGCTATTGCTACAAATATACCCCAGCGACTCAACACTGCTTTTGTGCTCCAGGCTCACATTTTTTGTTTAATATGTCTAAATACCTTATTTTTAATTTTTTTTAAATATCTTGCATCTTAATTTTAATTTATTTTCAAGTTTTGGTAAATTTAGCACTTCAGCTTGAACATATTTTATAAACTTGTTTATGTTTAAGTTTTTCTTCTAATATTTGTAACTTTTATTTATACATTTTTATTTCAATTACCAATTTTTTTAATAATTGTTTTAGTTTTAGCAAACATGTCCAGCTCATATTCCACCCCAAAAATCAAAAGGAAAAACAAGATATATTTTGCATGAACAAATTTATTTAGTTTGGTGTGACGTTCGTGAGACGTTGTTCGTGTGACGTTCGTGTGACGTTCGTGGGACGTTCGTGGGACGTTCGTGGGACGTTCTTGAGACGTTCGTGAGACATTCTTGAGACGTTCGTGAGACGTTCGTGTGACGTTCGTGAGATGTTCGTGAGTCGTTCGTGTGACATTTGTGACACGTTCATGAGAAGATCGTGAGACGTTCGTGAGACGTTCGAGAGACGTTCTTGAGATGTTTGTGAGAAGATCGTGTGATGTTCGTGAGACGTTCGTGAGATGTTCGTAAGACGTTCGTGAGACGTTCGTGAGACGTTCGTGAGATGTTCGTGTGATGCTTGTGAAACGGTCGTGGGACGTTCGTGGGACGTTCGAGAGACGTTCTTGAGATGTTTGTGAGACGTTCGTGAGAAGATCGTGTGATGTTCGGGAGATGTAGGTGACACGTTCGTGAGACGTTCGTGGGATGTTCGTGAGATGTTCGTGAGACGTTCGTGAGATGTTCGTGAGACGTTCGTGAGACGTTCGTGAGACGTTCGTGAGACGTTCGTGAGACGTTCGTGAGACGTTCGTGAGACGTTCGTGAGACGTTCGTGAGACGTTCGTGAGACGTTCGTGAGACGTTCGTGAGACGTTCGTGAGACGTTCGTGAGACGTTCGTGAGACGTTCGTGAGACGTTCGTGAGACGTTCGTGAGATGTTCGTGAGACGTTCGTGTGATGTTCGTGAGATGTTCATGAGAAGATCGTCTGATGTTCGTGAGATGTTCGTGTGATGTTCGTGAGATGTTTGTGAGACATTCGTGAGACGTTCGTGAGACGTTCGTGAGATGTTCGTGAGATGCTCTCAAGACGTTTGTGACATGTTCATGTGATGTTCTCAAGACGTTCGCTTTACTTTACTATCCCTCTGATCAGCATGTGGTACATTATATAATTAAAAATATTTTAATTATAACCTAACTACCTAATCCTAGGGTTAGGGTTAACCCTAACCCTACCTATAACCCTAACCCTTTCTTACAAACTTATGTGATTTGATAAAATACATAATGAAAGCTTCAAGCTACACATGCCAATTAATGAGATTAATAAAACACCTCTACTTGAATGTCACTATCAGTCACTATTGAGTGTTTGTAATAACTTCGGACTGTGAGTGACGCATGTACGTGTTCTGGCATAGTAGACATAGATATACATACATAGAATCCCGCGGCCCATAGAAACAGTCACTAATGAGGCATCTACTTATATATATAACTGAAATAAATACTAATAAATGCTATATAGATGTATAAAAAACTTTTTTTTTACTTTTAGTTTGTATTTAAACATTTTTGAAAAAATACATTTTCAGTTTTTTTTTTGTGTTTTTTTTTTGTTTTCTTTAATTCCTTTCTTTTATGTATTATTTTATCATCTTAAAATTGTACAGCACTTTGATACACTTTGGTTTTTAAAATGCTTATAAATAAATTTGTAATAAAATTGTCTATTCTGTTTTTCTTTTTTTTTTTCTTTTGTTATTTTATCATAAATTTGTACAGCACTTTAGTACACTGTTTTTTAAATTGCTTTATGAATAAATTTGAAATGTAATTTAATATGTATAGTTTTTTATTTATTTTCTTTTGTTTCTATTATATGCTATTTTATCATTAAATTGAACAGCACTTTGGTACACTCAAATTGGTACACTTTTTTTCCTCCCTTTATTTATTTTGTTATTTTGGTTATTTTATAATATTCTCAATATTTAGATTTTTTTGCACCCTCAGATTCCAGATTTTCAAATAGTTGTATCTCAGCCAAATATTGTCCGATTCTAACAAACCATACATCAATGGAAAGATGATTTATTCAGCTTTCATATGATGTATACATCTCAATTTCAAAAAATTTACCCTTATGACTG